AGAGAGAGAGAGAGAGAGAGAGAGAGAGAGAGAGAGAGAGAGAGAGAGAGAGAGAGAGAGAGAGAGAGAGAGAGAGAGAGAGAGAGAGGGATATGCACCAGAAGGGGTTTTCCTTGAAAGCAGCAGGGTTTTCCGTGAAGCTGTGTTTTTGTCTTTTGCATATCTGTAGGTTTTCCTTTTTTTGATTTTCTGTTAAGTTTCTGTTTTCGTTCAAGTTGAGGTCACAATTATTTGCATTTGTTTTTCCTTCTGTGCAGGAATTGACCGCCGTACGTTTTGATGATCTGGATGGCTTCGTGTTGGCAGTGGGAACAAGCGGAGGCAATGTGAGTGAGGGAGAGAAAAACCCCTCTGGTACCCGCGATACACAATCGCCCTTCCCCAATTGCCCCCCCTTCCAACCCCTCCCCCCCAACCAACCCCACCCCCTCCGACTCCGTCCTTGTGCTGTCGTTTCCTTGGGTTTTGGTGTTCAAGCGCTAGGTGGGCCATCCTCAAATTCAATCTTTTTTTTGGCCCGGGCCACTCTGGTAGCCTAGGAAATATTCAATTAAGCTCAAATCAATTCTTTCTTTGTAGTTTTTTAATGTGATTCTTTTGTTGTAGCTCCTCCTTCCTCATTCCCCACGTCCGCTGCCGTTCCTCTGACTCTAACAATTGTGATGATCCTCCCTCCACAATATATATTATTATAACTTAAATTATGACATATTTGAAGAACAAATATTTTCAAATTTTCAGTTGCACATCACTATCACACTCTTTTTCTCTTTTGCAGGTACCGCGTACCCAAACCGAAACGTGGTCGGATCCGTAGCGTTGCGCCCAGGGCCGCGACGTGGGGAGATACACCGGTCGTTCGTATGAGACTGAATTCTGCTCCGGAACATGGGGAGATACACAGGTTCCCTTTTGTTCTTTTGTTTCGTTTCTTTATTTTTTTGTCATTTTGCCACGTTCCTTTTGTTCGTTTCTTTCTTTTTCTTTCTTCTTTTTTGTCGTTTTGCGGGTTTGCTTTTGTCCCGCCCGTTGTTTCCTTTTTGGCCTTAGGGCCTCGCTGCACTGCTCTCCAAATGTGCAAATGAGACTGAMTCCACTGCTAGAACACGGAGAAATACATTGCCATCTTTTTTGTCTTTTGCGCACGTGGAGAGTACCAAGCGTTTTTCCTTTTTTTTGTCGTTTTGCGGGCCCTCCATCGGGGAGGTTCGTTTAGCATGGCTCCTGCGCAAGGATCACATTTGCAAATCGAGGGGGACGTCGCACAGCTGCGAGTTCACGCACAGCACCTGCGGCGCGCGTGTTGCTTTTCCGTGTCCGACAAAGGCGGTGGGGACGAACGGGATGAGCGGGAGGGGGGGGATGGGAGGGTGAGGAGTCTGAGGACCGCGGCAGTGGACGGGGGGAGGGGCAACACGAGGACCAAGAGAGGGACCAGCGGGAGGAGGAGGAACGGGATGAGAAGAGGGGGGGGGAGGGGAGGGGAGCAGAAGGGAGGCACTGCAGAGGGAGCAGTGGGCGAAGAGTAGGTCTGCCGTGGGCGTGGCCGTGGTGACCATACTCAGTCAGTTGATTTCTGCGGGGCTGCGTTGCATGCCGTGGGCGTAGCTTTTTTTTTTTTTTTTTTTTTTTTTTGTTCCTCTGCTCTTAGTCCCCGCCGCAGTTGCGGCGGGCATCCTCCTTGTATATTATTATAACTTAAATTATGACATATTTGAAGAACAAATATTTTCAAATTTTCAGTTGCACATCACTATCATACTCTTTTTCTCTTCTGCAGGTACCGCGTACCCAAACTGAAACATATCCTGATGCACTGGGTACTATCCGAACGCCTGGACTGATCCGGACAAGGGGCACCCTCTCTTGCCCCCCCCTCCTTCCCGCCTCCGGTCGGGCCCTTCACCCCGCTGTTGCTCCTGCCCCTATTCTGACGCTCTGGGTAACACCCAAACGTCTGGACAGATCTGGACAAGGGACGCCCTCTCCCGGCCGTCCTTCCCCGTCTTCGCTCCCCCCCACACCCCCCCCTGTGCACACCCGCGTCCACCTCGACCCATGTCCTTCCCCCCTGCCAAAGAAAAAGCAATTGGTTTCAACTTCGAACTTTTCACATGTTTCGGTCAAATTTCACGTCGATCGTTACGGATCGATCTTTACAGATGCCTATTTGGCGGAGACGTTGCCTGGCCCGTGTCCTTCCCTGCTGTCGGATCGATCGTTACAGATGCCTCTTCGGTGGAGACGTTCCCCGTCTCCACCGCAGCTTCCAAGACAGCGCCCTCGTTTGTCGTTGAATGGCATGATCACCGCGCCCCCTGCAGGGGTTAGCGATCTGCTCCGAGGACATGCTCGCAACCGTACGGAACAACATCGTCGCTTTCAATATACACTAGCGAGGAATAGTGCATGGAAACTGTGATTCCACGAAAACTGTGACCCCCTGTCCTGTGCTCGTCCCCCCCCCCCCCCCTGCCCCTGATTACTTGCCCAGCATACCGTTGTGGCCTCGATCTGCCATGTTTAAATAACTGTGCATGCCAGCCTTCCATACTAATGACATGTCAGCAACATGCCATGTGTCGTCAATGCTTCCAGGAAGCTGTCATAGAAAGTGTGTGTCTTTACTGCGTGGACTATACCCGGTGCCATCGCCCTCCACATTCTCTCCTAGCATGTCCAACATCCGGTGTTGGTCACACACGAGGAGGAAAATAGACTTCTATATGAACCACCAGCAGAGCGATGTGCTCATAGTTTATCACCACCAGGGCAAGCTGTTGTGGACCAAATCCTGCAGCAGGTGACCGCTCTTGCTTTGGACCGATCCTCTCTGTCGTCATCTGCCCATAGGCAAGGAATAAATACTGAGGAAGCCCAAGAAAGATGCTCCATGTCGCTTTGTGATGTCGCGCCGGAGATTCAGCTAGCATGTGGTTTGCATGCCTTGTGCCGTGAGGATTATGAAGGGATAGTCCATGCAAGTTCTTGCTTCTGTATGTACGACGACAGTCAGTACTGTACTCATGTACAGCACCCTGACATGTCATGTCCAATTTGCAGACAGGGGCTGGATCGGCAATGCCTCTATAACTGCGGTCGACGTGCCTCAGTGTTCCTAGCATCTATGATCCATGTAGCCTGTGGCATCTGTCTGCGCCACGCCATTCGATGCACCAACTGTGATTGTGAAAATTGGATGCGGTGCTTCCATAGTCCACACCCAAACCTGTCCTGTCCGGTCTGTAGGGCTGGCCACTTGCCATAGGCATCAACTGCTCCTCAACCGCCCCCCCCCAAAAAAATAAATAAATAAAAAAATTGCAACCCTGTGCCATTCTAGAGTAGTCTGTTCCAGCGGTGAATGTTTGGAACTATCCCTTTCCCTTCACCCTTCCCTCCACTCCCATTGTGCTACTAACAAATACATAGTACATAAGAATGAGCATCATTAAGAGAACCGATGATATGAAGATCAGAAGGACGGACCCAAAGGTTAAGTATAAGCTGAAGATCTGAAGTGAAATGAACAGGAGTATCAAGGCCTGAAGAGAAATGCACAGGAGCATACCTTCCCTTTTACACTGCCTCCTAAAATAACGTGGAAGTGGGCCGTGAAGGCACACGGGGATTAGGGCAGCTGCCGCTCAACCACAATCAATGTGGGAAGCCTTGTATGCAAGAGGCACAGTAAAAGGGTAGCTGCAAGAACAAATGGAAAGGGTACCCCAAATGGAAGGGGTACCTCAAAATGATGTCTAATTATCAAATTGCTTTAATATGTTGGACTGTCTCATCTCAAATGCTCTCGTTGTCTGCAATAGGACAAAGACTGCTTCTGAATCTATTCATCTGTGAGAAAAATCTATAACACACACACACACACACACACACACACACACACACACACACACACACACACACAVAGAGAGAGAGAGAGAGAGAGAGAGAGAGAGAGAGAGAGAGAGAGAGAGAGAGAGAGAGAGAGAGAGAGAGAGATCTGGAATGAGTTGGAGAATGATATCCTTGCACAACCTTCGCTTGCCTTTTTTTTTTTCCTTTTTTTCCCCGTTTGCCGAGCTAGATTTTGTACTGGGAATTGCAATGTGCTTTTTTGCCTTTGCTGGACTCGATTTCGTATTTCGAATTGCAATGTGTTTTTTTGCTGGACTCAAGTAGCAGAGAGGATGAACAGTGCCCTTTTCGTTTTATGGATTCGCCTTTCCTTTTTTTTTTTTAATAATAAATACGAAATGGTTCACCTTTCCTGACGAGCAATGTTCTGTTCGGATGTATCAGGTTCTTTTGTACGATCTGCGCTCCTCGGTCCCGCTCAGGACAAAGGACCACATGTACGTACACTAATTCCCCCGGCGCCTGTTTTTTTTTTTTGTGTTTTGTTTCTCATCAGCTTGATGTGTTTGTTTCCGGTTTGTTATCGAGCTACACGGTGCATTGGTATGTGCGGTCTGGCTAGCTGGCTGCATCAACTGACCTTTTTTTTTGTTCTTTTGTTATGTAAAGTCTGGCTAGACGGTCACATCAACCGATCTCAGACTGTGTACTGGGGCTACCCGGCCTCTGATGGTACCCTGGCCTCTCTGATCAATCTCTCTGTGGCCTGTCAAACCCTTCTGTCACAATCATGCTACCGGTTATCGCTTCGGGTTACAGGGCGGCACCTGCAGACCAAGTCTAATGGCTTCACACAAATACAGTGATAATGACCGTGCGTTCTCTATTCGGGTGAGGACGGTAGCACCACAGCGGAGGCAGGACTTGAACCCACATACATCAGATGCAACTTAGACATGCAACCACATGCTCTTTGTTCTTGTATTCATGGGACTTGGAATCTGGAATCAACTATACCGAAGTCAATATTCATTAGTATTTTGTGATCTGAAGCTACTCAACTGCTTCAGAGAGAAGTGGTTAACAGACGCCTAAATTTTTCGTGTTTTTTTCACTTTTTCAGGGTCATTATAACAAGCTTGTCACATCTTTTAAGCAGGACTTGTCACCAGTCCATAGAGTGGACAGCAAATAAACCAACAGAAAAAAAAGAAGGAAAAATTAAAAAAAGAACGGATCAAAGGGGCCTTAAACCCCAAGGCAAAAGTGTGTTTTCATGCAAATTCATGCAAAATTCACTCTATTCAGTTTTCAGCAGGCCGACCAGTAGGGCCGACTGGTCGGCGGTCTGCCGACCAGTCGGAAAACGACCATCCACTGATTGTTTTTTCAAATCTGAGTTGGGGGCTGTACTGCGCTTGCTGAGTACAGCCCAAATCCGCTGAGAACTTTTGGGGATGGGGGGGTT